AAAGCTAACTTACCTTTTCCTCCTCCTCCCTCAGGTCAGGCATGGTGCTGATGGATAAGTTCACTGCTGTAATAGTTACAAATAAAACAGACAAACAAGCAAACACCTTTCCAGGGAGGCCAGACTGGGGCCTTTCCACCATGTCTTGCAACTTTTTCATGCACAAGCCAATTTTTGTGTCCTCTACTGTTTCACCTGTTTCATTATCTATGAGGTCATCCTCCCGTTCATTTATTTCTGTAAACTCCTCCATTTTTTGCAGATATCTCCTTTTGCAACACCAGTCCAAGCTGTCTTCCTCAATTCCCCAGTAAAGCAGCTCCTCTTGGAAAGACAATGCACACATCTCACGCAAGAGCCGCAGCTTACCAACTCGCAAAAAGGTCAGGATTGTCCTGAATGCCCCTGGGTTGCGGTCGAAAAAGAATTCATTACATGTCACATCGTAATCATCACAGATGTTTAGAATGTCGTCAAAATTATTACAGAATTTTAGTTGCCCCAAACGTGTCAATGGGAATTCATCAAGCGTGGTCCATGGGAGCAAATACTTAATGCCCCCTACGTTTATAATGATATGATGCTTCCGATCATCAGGGTGAAAGCCTTTCAGGACATCTTCTTGAGGGTGAATCAGCTTGGCTCTTTGGTAAAAGACTCCCTTAAGGGTTTCTGTTTCTGGAAAGAATGTGTGGTTGAAGGAAGTATCTGAAGCACAGCTCAGGGCACTATAGTCATAGTCGGAATTTTCTCCAGGTAGAAGAGTCATCTTGGAAGATAACTTCACATCACTTTGCTACTTCTGCAAGTGTCTTCTGGAACAAAAAACAGATATATGAGGTGAGTGAATGCGAAGCTGTTTTCAAGTTTGGAACAAACGTAGTGATTGGACCTGATAAAAACAATTGGAAAGCAAAGAGCAGTGGCTGAGTATGATCAGAAGACCTTTCCTGTGCAGCTGGGCTTGTCCAGCTGTGTAGAAATGACTCTATCAAGGGCTGCTCCCTTCTTCAGGGGCTCTGCTGGGCATATTTGTCACACTGGGAGGCTTCTCCTGTCTCAGAGACAGAGGTTTCAGTTCCCAGTGGATATAGAGAAAAAAAAGGAATAATTCCTGCATGTGGCAGGATACTTCTGTTTCAGAATGGAAGTATAAAAATTATGACAGTATCACATGAGAACACAGAATTCAAGTGTATTTTGTAGAAAAGGAAATTCTATATTTTTATGTTACACATAAAAATCTTAAGTATTTTAGTACCCATGACGTACACAGAAAAAATCAGAAGTCAATCATGTTGTAATAGTCAATTCAGTAAATATACACTTCTAAAAAACAGTTAGTACAAGACTAATTTCTAAAAGGCCATATGGAAACAATTTAGGGAAAAAAAAAAACCACTTATATAGATGATCACATTAAATGTTTGAATAGAGTTTATATACATTTAACAACATGGCAATTCCCTTTTTACAGCCTCATTTACAAAAGATTACTAAGAAATACATGAGTTCTACACAAAAATTGGAACATTATTTCAGTTATAACTGGCACCCTATACGCAGTAATAGGTCTTTGTCCTAACAATGGATTAGAGAGAGAGTGACTGAGAGCCAAAGTGACTGCCTACACCTCTGACTACAGGAAACCAAGAAATTCTTATGATGACTTTGAAAATCACGTTCAAATTCTGCTCACACAACACTAGTGTAAAGTCTGTGGAATGAAGTGACCACAGAGTTCAAATGGGTATAAAAAGCAGGCACTGGAAATGTTAAACTTCTTGCCTCCCTAACCCATAGCATTTAAAAAGTCAGACTGAAAGTCTGCTCACACACAGCAGAGCTGCAGGGCACTGCTTCTCGATCTTCCATCCGTACAGCCAGCTACAGCTTAACGCATGGAGTTGCCGAGTTTCACTTTTTAAAAGTATTTATTAAGTAGATTGTACAGCAAATAGATATTAATTATACACAAGTATTCTGACTTTCTAGCCTGGGGTTCATGGGAAAGTGATAAATATTACATTCGATTGGCTTCAGTAGCAGTACATAGTTTTGTTCTTTTCTTAGCTGTACTTACCTCCCCTTTGATATGCACCCTGGGGATATACACCCTGCTAGGGTGACTTCCTTGAACACAGAACAGTCCTTTTCAGGAGCTAGGGTTTATAAACCACATCGACAGTGTTACATACCTATTACAGAAGAAAACCCCATGAATACACAACAGCAAAGTACTCAAAACACAGCTGCACTTCAGTTTAAGAGCAACAGGCTTTCCTTGCTGCAAGGGGACTGACAATGCTGCTTCCAATAAAATACTATCTCAGTCCTGCTCCTAAACTTCCCAGAGGGCTTACTCTGAACAGGGCAGTTCCTTACATATTCTTAGAAACAGATGGCCTCAGGTGAGCTTTGGATGGAATGGTATTTCCCGATTCCTCACCTGTAATCCTCTTTAGTACAAAAGGAAATAATTAATTTACTTACCTTTAGGGCATGTGCATAACGAAAAGCCTATGGGAATATATAAGAATGGACAAGGCATGATTCAGACCTTTCAAGAGCTGTGGTACTATTTTTTGGCCTGTGGTAAGCAAAGAGGTAAGCTTTGTCATCTTGCTCCTATCACAAAGTGGGATCTTTATTACTATTGCTAGTGATTTGAGAGCAGCTATTTGGCAAGTAACCCCTTCTCCATGCCAAAACCTTCACTGTGTTTAGCTTTCAGTGCCTTATCACCACATACTTGCTTGTATTGCTGAGTTGCTCTGTCTTTGCTCCAGAGTTATGACTCTAGAAATCCCCATGGCAGGGGATGAGCAGTTCTCAACTCCTCTGGAAGTAACAGCAAGTGCAAACAATGACAAAATCCCACAGGCGTGCCTGTACTCAAATAAACTTCCAATTGATTTCGGTTTGTCTCTTGCCTCAAGAAAGATGGAGTGAAGGCCTGCTGACCTGAAAGTCTGTTTGTTTTTTTTTCCAGAAAGAACATTAACACGAAATGTAATTGCATTAAAAAGTCACATTGTAGGAAATTCTAGCCAATACTAGGATTATCAGTAGAGCTTCATGACAGATGATGGCACTCTGCCGTTGCCCACTGGAAAAGCTGCAGGTCTCAGATACATGAAGGGATCTGAGGAGTGTGACAGCCGGCTCAGACAGTGCCAGCTACAGCATGTTGAACAGGGGAAGTACAGAACAGCTGAACTTGCAATTACCCTGCCATACAGTCCCATCACATGAAGAACTCCTAATGACCTCAGAGCTGGTCTTCTGTTAAAGCAAGATACCATCAGTATAAGATAAAGCAAGATACCATCAGTAGAAATAATGCCACTGGGAGTTCAAGCTATAGGTTTGACGGGGAAAAAGAGGACTACCTGATGTATGTTTATGTAGGCTGCTTTTCTTAGAGTAATTGTTGTTTTATTTAGAAACAAGCATTTTCCCCTCTGCGTCAGCTATGTCTAAGGCAGGGCTGGCCCAAAGAGAATAAAGACTATGACTGATAGAAGATATGGATAAACAGGAGCTGTTAACCATTTTCCCTTCTGTAATACCAGATGATGTTGGTTAGCAACAACTTATCCTCTGAATCTCAGCCAGGAAAAATGAGGAGGCAGCTCATCTCTGTCACTGGTTTGATCTCCCACTGCATCCATTGTTGACACAATGGGAAGAAATGGGGAGAGGGAAATGTAAATGCTCTGCGTGTGTCAGACACATGCTGTAACCCTGAGGCATCAACTGTGAAACAACAGAGCAAAGAAAAAAGAATTTCTCCCTTCACTTCCAGCTTCTCGACCTGCGCAAGACAATAAATTGGACAAATTAATCCCCTGTGTAACACACTGAATGGCTGCAGTTATAAAAGGTGGCTCCTTCTTTTTCTATAACCAGAACTGGCAAGCCCACAGATCCTACGTAGGCAGCTATGGTATTTGATGCTGTACATGTGTTATTTACATGTTCTTTGCCTTGGATACACATAGCATCAAATTTAAGGGGAAAGAATAAGGAAGATATAAAGGACCATAGAAAAGATGGCCTGAATTGAAGGAAGAGAGAAAGGAGAAAAATAAGGCTGTATATTTCTCTGTAAGTTTCTTGTTTTCCTTTGGAAGGTGATTCTACAGAATGATGATCAGCACTGCTTTAAGATAGATCTAATTAATGGAAGTGGGTTTTTTTGCTATTGAGCTTAAAAACCAAGCAAACTGTTTTACTCATACATTGCAGACTGATGACATTGGAGATGGCTGTAGGAAATGCGTTAAGGATTGCAGATAACACACTAGAATATAAGGTCAGACAAACACATTATCCTATAGCAACAATTTTCCCAACAATTAAACAAGATGAACTTGAAGGATATGCTGTAACAGTAAAATCCTCAAATAAAACTGCTCTGGTTAAGTAAGACCCAATGGTAAAATCCCTCCTTGCCTGAGATAGTATTCTCTCCTTTGAATGCTTGGGAGTTAGTGAAGCCCAGTTCATCTCTCCAGCTTCCCTGCCTGTAATGTGTTCACATCTTGGGCAAAGCACTTCTCCTTAAGCATCGTTTCCTATTTTGTTTGTAAGCTTACTGGGGCAAGAACTGTCTCTTACTACATCATAGAATCCTGATCGTTGTTCTGGCTTCTAGAAACTACAGTAATACAGAATAACTGGCCCATAGCAAGGGCTCTTGGTGACTCTAAACAGTGTGACAGGCATGTGAAGCAAGGCATAACATCTTTTCAAAAATCTGTCTTGCACAAGATGATATTCTTATCCGTTATGTTTCAAGAAGAAATTGAAATAGAAATCTGTTCTGCCCTTACTTTCAGCAGAAATTCAGGAAGGGTCCCAGACTCCTAGACAATGGGGAAAGAATTGTTAAAGATGCCCTTCTGAGGGAAAGAAACAGAAATCATGAGTAACATGCTAAAATTCCACTGCAAGTGTCGTTTCCCCCCCCCCAGTGTCCTCTGCAGTATTTTGAATTCTGCAGTGCATCTCTGATGTAATCAGAGCTCCTGCAAGGAGTCCTGATACTGCTCTGTGATGCAGACAATTCAAAGTTGCACCTGGATGATAACAAGCATGCAAGGAAGATGCATAACTTCCCCCTAGACTCTTCTATCAATTCCAGTGCCTGGAACTAAGTCTCTGTTGCTTTTTGCTATTTGTAAATTTAGTTTAAAAAAACAAGAAAGTTTCAGATTTCAGTGCAGGGTGAATATGAATGACTTTTTGGAAATAATTCAGTAAAAACCTGCTTTACAGTTTAGTGATCCTTCCTCCTTTACTCGTGTCTTAGTCGAAATAAGCAGTATTTTCAAGCAATGTTAAATTCAGCTATCTTCTGACACAGGATTTCCGTACTGTATCAACACTGTCAGGGTACCCTCCTGAAATACTTTAAGCTGTACTCATGCAGCTCTTTACACAGTAAGAACAGATCTCAAACTTCAGCTCAGCTTGCAAAGTAAACTTCCATCCAAATCAAAGTAAAACTTACAAAGGTCAATGTATCATATGAAACAAAACTATCCTGAAAAACATATAATCTGAAAAAATATGCTCCTATCTGTATATCACTCTCCTTGATCTGGACAGTGTTTTGGCACCTTTTGACAGCTTGCAAACTGAATTATGACCAGTGTGTTACCCAGTATTTGGTTTTATAAAGCTGACTCTTATTCTGCCAATAATACTCAGAAGTGAAATAACTTTGCAGATAACTTATATCCCCAGGAGAATGTGCTGGAA